GTTTTGACTTTCCATTTTGGTATGTGATTTTGGTATGTGAATTTTTTTGTCGTTTGTGATTCTGATATGAGGATTAAGTTGAGGTATGCTTATGTTTGTGTCTCTTGGTCCTTTTCTTAATTGGTTATGTAAAGATGGTTGGTCCAAGTTTCAGGTTCTCTCATGTTTTATTTTGGAGGGAACTGATGGCTTCAGATCAGCTACTCAGGTTCCAGTCAGGTATAGTCAAGCTTTCTGTCTAAGGTATGGACCCCTAGAAGCAGGAACTCAGAGTTAAGTTGAGGTATGCTTATGTTTGTGTCTCTTGGTCCTTTTCTTAATTGGTTATGTAAAGATGGTTGGTCCAAGTTTCAGGTTCTCTCATGTTTTATTTTGGAGGGAACTGATGGCTTCAGATCAGCTACTCAGGTTCCAGTCAGGTATAGTCAAGCTTTCTGTCTAAGGTATGGACCCCTAGAAGCAGGAACTCAGAGCAAAATTTGGGAAGTTCCCTAAGGGGGTGCCGATTTGGGGACTGTCAGTCAGTCAGTTGAGTTCTCAGCCCCTATGCCAGAGGGAAGTTGGAACAGGCACTCTCTGGTGGTCTGCTGAGATCACAGTACACAGATAGAGGTAGGAACCTGCCCCCTCAGGCTGTCTGCTAAGATCTCAGCCTAATCCTAACAAAGCCAGGTCTGCCCCAGGGCCTTGGGAGGGGCCTCACACAATCCCAGTTAGGAGGTTGGGTACTGCAGAATTAGGGGAAGCTCACCACCACATGGAGTCAGGTTCCAGATGCTCTCAGGTAGTCTCCTGTGTTCTCAGCCCCTATGCCAGAGGGAGGCTGGAACACTCACTCTCTGGCAGTCTGCTGAGATCACAGTAGCATTTTTATTATTTTTATTTATGTGTATGAGTGTGTTGTCTGAATGTGTCTAAGTGTACCTGTGTTGTGCAATACCTGCAGAGGCCACAAGAGTTTCGGATGCCCTGGAACTGGGGCTAGGACAGTTTATTAGCTGCCAAGTGAATGCTGGGAATTGAACCCGGGTCCTCTGCAAGAGCAGTCAGTGCCCTTAGCTGCTGACCTATTTCACTAGTCACTCTAGCCCATTTTAAAGTTTTTTTTTTTTAATCTTTTTGAGACAGAGTCTCTCTAGCTCACCTGGCCTGGAACTCACTGTGTAGACCAGGCTGGCCTTAACTCACAAAGATCTGGGATTAAAGAATACTGGGATTAAAGGCATGTGCCACCATACCCACCCAAGTTTTCTTAAATTTTGTGTGTGTATGTGTGTGTGTGTGTGTGTGTGTGTGTGTGTGTGTGATGTGATTACAGGTGTGTGCATGCTACCGAACTACTTTGCTCACCCTCAAAATATATTTTAAATCTCCTTTTGGGCTAGGCATGGCGGTACACACCATTTATTTATTTATTTATTTATTCATTCATTCATTCATTCATTCATTCATTTTGGTCTTTTTGAGACAGGGCCTCCCTGTAGTCCCAGCTAGCCTGGAACTCAGTATATAGACCAGGCTGGCCACAAACTCAGAGATCCGCTTGCCTCTGCCACCTAAGTGCTGGGATTAAAGGCACGCACCACCATGTCTAGCTCAGTGGTATACACCTTTAATTCCAGCACTCGGGAGGCTGGTAAATGTTTGCAAGTTCAAGGCTAGCCAGGGATATATAGTAAGACCCCGTCTTCCAAAAACAACAACCTCTCCTTTTGAAATTTTATTATTTGTGATTTTACTATAGATGAAATTGCGATAAGTAAGTTTCAAGTATAAGAAATAGTGATACAAAAAAGGGTGTTTATCAGTAAAAACACTGTCAAGAATATAGACATTAGTCAGTGAGAGAAAGGTGCTTATTGCCAAGCTTGATGATTTGAGTCTGATCCCTGAAATCCACATGGTGGAAGGAGAGAACTGACTCTGACCTCCACAGGTGTGCTGTGGCATGCATATTTGCACACACGCTCACAATAAATAAATGTAAAATTAAAAACCTAAAGTAAAATAAAAGTATGGATACTGAAGGGTTGACAAGGGTCAGACCGCAGTAAAACTTTCTGTACATCCTGACACCCTCAGATATGCCTGCCAGTTTCTGAAAATGAAGGAGACACATCACTCATATCACTTAACATCCGTGATCATTGTACCATTAGGGCTTTGGGGATCAAGGCATAGAATTTTCCTAAGTGAGCAACAGTCTCAGATAGTAAACCTCAAGTTGTACTTCCATCACCCTCCTTAGCTATCATTTGTTTATTCTTTGCAAAACAGTCATGCTATTTGTTGTGAATCAACCCTTGTTGGGATAGCTGTTGTCTGGGACAGAAACAAACTCCTGCAATAGTCAAAACAGGTTGACAATATTAAAAAATTAGTGGTTAAACTGGGCATGGTGGTATATTGCTTTAATCCCAGCACTCCGGAGGCAGAGGCAGGCAGATCTCTGTGAGTTCAAGGCCAACCTGGTCTACATAGTGAGTTCCAGGACAGCTGGGGCTACAGGGAGACCCTGTCTTAAAAAGACCAAAAAAAAAAAAATAATAATGGTTAAGCTGAGTGTGGTGGCATGCACCTTTAATCTCAGCTATTGTGAGGCAGAAGCAGGTATATTTCTGTGAGTTTGAGGCTAGCTTGGTTTACATACTAAAATCCAGGCTTCCCAGAGACTTTGTCTCAAAAAAAAAAAAAAAAAGAAAGAAAGAAAAGAAAAAGGGAAAAGAGGCACTTTTGGCATTACAATAAATTGGTAGAGTTTAATAAATCTGAAAGTTCTTGATGAAATTGATTCAGTTAAATATTGTGTGAGAAGTAATTTTCAGTTCTCTATTTCCCATCATCATTTTTTTTCTGCTGAGCAATTTTGAGATGAAGGAAAGGTATTTGTAGAGTGTGTTAATGTTTTCTTATTTTCCCCTAGATTACGAATAAAAGCAAAGAGTCAACATGGGCCTTAATTCACAGTGTGAGCGATGCTTTTTCTGGCTGGTTGTTGATGCTCCTTATTGGGCTTTTTTCAGGTATGGTAAATTGCTGTGGTTTTCAAAATAAATCTTCCAGAATTGTGGTATGCTCCTTATGAACTAAACGAAGTGTTATATTTTCCAATCTGAAGTGAATTCCTGGTGAATATTTGGAAACTCAATGCCCCATATGTAAATGAGTACTAATACCTGCATTACTTCCCCAAAATACATGAGGGAATGCATTTAAACCCAGTTTGTATGTGAAGATGTTGCACTCATTTTGAAGCAGAAGTTAGCACAGTATTTTAGGGATCTTGAGGAAGAGCTCATCTGTTGGAGGGAAGATTTTTTTTTTAATTTGTTTTTATTGAATTTTTGTCTATTTTATACAGAATATCTCAATCAATCTTAATCATCTTTATACCTCCATCCCCACTGGGCACCCTCCCATAGCCCCCCACTAGAATTCATACACTCTGTCATTTGTCTTAAGGCCGTTTTGTCAAGTTAGTGTCCCCAGATGTTCCTCAGTACAAGTTCATCTGTTGAGGTGTAGTCAGATTTTCTAGAGTCCCTTGCTTTAGGAAGATCAGCTCTTCCTCACATAGCAATAATCATTCAACCTCTACAACTAAGGCTCACGGAACCTAGAGCGGGTGAAGAGGACGCCAATGAACCTCTCAACTCTCATTAATGAAGTTCCATTATGCAGCAGAGGGCCAGGAACACAAAAGGCACAAATGACCAAAGCGTAGAGATTGAGTCTGCAGAATGCTTGTTCTTGGACAGAAATTTAGATTAAAAAAATATTTTCTTTATTATTTTTATTTTATGTGTATGAGCATATTGCCTGTATGCATGTGAGTGCACCTGTAATGTGCAATGCCGTGGAGGTCAGAAGAGGGCTTCGGATTCCCCTGGAACTGGAGTTAAGGAACTGGAGTTAAGTTCATAGTTGCCATGTGGGTGCTGGGAATCGAACCTGCGTCCTCTGCAAAAGCAGCAGTCAGTGCTCTTAAATGCTGAGCCATCTCTCCAGCCCCAGAAATTTAGATTTTTATGAAGAGTATTCTCAGTGTGAAACTACATGACATAGAAATGTTGACTGGTGTAAGGACAGAGCTCCACACTGAGGTTCTCACTGAATCCTATGTTATAGCACTAACCAACAAAACAAATCTTTCATTGACCTTCTCCCCAGTCCTCACCATTTTCTTTGCCATTCCCAGTGTCATTGAATGTAGTTTGGGAATCATTTGAGCAAAGTTAAAATGAATTTTCTGTATCATCCAGTTCACCATTTGTCTTTTTAAAGTCTAGGCAAGCAACTGATATGCATGCTTCATAAATAATAGAAAAGCCAGAACAGGAGCACAGATTTTTAAAATTGTAACATGCCCTGTGAACAAATTGGGGGAGATTCTTCATTCTGTGATCTGTTCCTTGTCCTTCTTTGCTGAGAAAAATTCAGTGACTTTTTGTTGTTTGTAACTGAGGGACCTTGACTGCTTCTTGAGGTTCAAAATGACATTTACTCCCAGGATCATGAAGTAGCTGTATCTATATGCCAGCCTGTCTTCTGATTACAGTATCTCCAATTTTGTGAGAAGCCCTTCTCTGAGTGTGACTTGCCCACCTTTTAGACTCAGCAGGGCATGAAGGAAACTCATGGAGTCACTTTCAAGCTGCTGTTTTCCTAATGTTTGGTCACAGATACTACCATTACCCAAGAAAATGCAAATTGCTCTCAGGAAATAGAGGTCTCATTATGCCACTTTCCCCTTCCAATAAAAATTTCTTCCTCTGCTGCAGATGATGTCCACACCATGGCCTAACATCCAAAGCCCTACCAAATGTGGCAACTTTATGCCCATCAATCTAATTTTTAAAAATATCCATACCTGTGGCTATGCTAGCCATTCCAACCCACTACGGCCTATCCTTCTATAAAGCATTTCCATATTGCATTCAATAAAAACCGCTCTGGCTTCCTGCTTAAAATAAAAGATGTAGTGCTTGATGTGTGTTCCACTAATTATGTATAATGATTCAGGAATGTATAAATTTGCTTTTTTAAAAAAATTTTACAGTCTCTCCCTTCTCTTTCTCTCCCCCCCTGACTCATCCAGTTTAGTCTTTCATTTTATTCACATAAACAATGGAAAGCAAAGGAAATAAAATTTCATAGATTTACTTAATCAGCATTACACAGCTTCCACATAGCAGAACCAAGAACTGAGAAAACTGAATAACTATTACATGAAAAAAAAAAAAAAAAAAAACCTTAAGGGGCTGGAGCAATGGCTCAGTGGTTAAGAACAGTGATTGTTCTTGCAGAAGATCTGGATTCGAATCCCAGCACCCACATGGCAGCTAACAACTGTCCGTAACTCCAGTTCCAGGGGATCCGACAGCATTGCATGACATTGCCTATCCTCTGAGGGCATTGCACGACATGGGTGCACTTTCCTACACGCAGGCAATACACGCATCCACATAAAATAAAAATAATAAATAAAACATTTAAAAAACCTTAAATGAGTCAAATTCAACTGTGAATTTTTATTAATTTGCAGCAAAATACAGAAAAAGATATTTTAATAATTTGCACATTTTCTTTTCTCCCTCCTTAATTCAAATTTTACCTAGTTGTATTTTCTACTAACTGATTCTTGGAGTTTAGGGTTTGAAATTTGCAATGGTAGTTTATTTTACTTTTACTAATTTGTAACTGTGAGGCAAGTTTTTTTAGCACATTCTGGCATGGATTTTAGAATATAGTGTAAATAACTCCCTGAGATATTTTGTTGTTTTATTGTTGGTTTTTTTTGGGGAGGGGGAGTCTTTTTGAGACAGGTTCTCCCTGTAACCCCAACTGACCTAGAACGCACTATGTAGACTAGGCTGGCCTTGGACTCACAGAGTGTCTCTGTCTCCCAAGTGCTGGAATTAAAGGTGTGCGCCACCACACCCGGCTTTGTTGTTGGTTTTTGTAACTCTGGGAATAGAACCTAGGACTTTTGTACATGCTAGGCAAGCTCTCCACCACCAAGTCATTCCCTCAGCCCTTGTTCTTTTTTAAAAAATAATTGTGTCTATTATTTTTATTTTATGTGTATGAGTGTATTGCCTGCGTGTTTGTAAGTATGTAAGTGCACCCATGTCGTGCAGTACTTGCGGAGGTCAGAAGAGGGTACTGGATCCCCTGGAACTGAAGTTCTGGATAGTTGTTAGCTGCCATATGGGTGCTGGGAATCAGACTCGAGTCCTCTGCAAGAGCAGCCAGTGCTCCTAACAGCTGCACCATCTCTCCAGCCCCGCCCTTGTTCTTTTTAAGACAGGGTCTCTCTTTATAGCCTAGGCTGGTCTTTTTGAGACAGTCTCCCTGTCCTAGGCTGGTCTTGAAGTCACTGTATAGCACAGGCTGGCTCAAACTGTAATCCTGTTGCCTCATGCTTCTCAGTGCTGGGATTACAGTGCACTATCATACCCAGCTGTGACTGTTTCTTTTCTTTTTTTGAGACAGGGTCTCCCTGTAGCCCCAGCTGGTCTGGAACTCACTATGTAGACCAGGCTGACCTTGAATTCACAGAGATCTGCCTGCCGAGTGCTGGGATTAAAGGCGTGTGCCACCACGCCTGGCATGTGTTTCTTAAACTTTTATCTTCCCTCTCATGTGGTGGTATAGAAAGGTATATTAAGATATGGCTCTTACTCTGAGGAACTTAACTCATTCTTTCATGGTTGTTGAAGGGTGTTGTGTAGCAAAATTTCCTATAAGCTCCATCAACCTCCTCCAGCAACTCTAAATATTACAGGTTGAGCATCCTTTATCCAAAATGCTTGGAGCAAGTTGGTGAGATGATGGCTTATTGGGTAAAGGTGTTTGATGCCAAGCCTGAGGACCTGAATTCAATTCCCAGGACTCACATGGTGGAAGGAGAGAACCAGTTCCTGCAAGTGATCCTATGACCACCACACAAATTGTTCTCTGACCTGCACATGTATGCTGTGGTATGCATGTGCAGGTACGTGCGCTTGTGTGCGTGAACACATGCACACAGAATAAATGTAGAAATGCTTGCTGATAGAAGTATTTGAAATATTGGCATATTACATAATGAAATATTTGGGGGAGGGGAACCATATGTCATACATGTAGCTTGAGGGTAATTTTATGTAATAGTCTCAATTAACTTGGAATTTTTTTGTTCTTTTGAAATAAGATCTCACTATGTACCCCAGGCTGGCCTTGAACTCACTCCTGTCTCAGCCTCTCAGGATTACAGACTTGAGTCACCACATAACTTTTCATTTGGGTTTTGATGAAAAACCTCTCACATGACATCAGGTGTGGACTTTTCTACATACAATGTCCTTAAAAAGTGCTTAAAAAGTTAGATTGTAGACTGTTTCAGATTAAGGATACTCAGCCTGTATGCAATTTAAGAATAATATACTTGTTCTGCAAATATAGCTTAAAACAAGGTTCAGAAAAGTCTTCTCCTATGAAGGAAGCAGAAAGCTAAGGATAGCAGGCAGAGAGGTTTAAGAAGTATATTCTTATAGCATTAAAAATGGGGCAGTCAAAATTCAAATCCCAGCTCCAGTACCTGTTAGTTTTTGTGGCCATTTTGGTGTACCGATCTATAAAATGGAGATAATACAAGTACCTCTATTAAAAGTTTTGTATGAGGATTACATGAGATATAGCACTTAAATCACAGTGTCCAGTTATTAATGCTGCTCTTGTCTAGGGGTGATGATTAATTAGCCATGTACTATGAAATGACTATCCCAAATATGAAATGGTTCATCCATCCCTGAATTTCTAAGCATTGCCTGGAGTAGAGACTAGTGATATGATTTAGCAAGTGAAAGTGCTTGCCTCAAATGCCTGACAATCTGAGTCTCATCCCTGGAACTCATGGTAGAAGGAGAGAACTGACTTCTGAAATTTGTGCTCTGTACTCCATGCTCAAGCTTATACTCATACACACACACACACACACACACACACACACACACACACACACACCACACTAATAAGTAAAATACAAATTAGAAAAAGAATTGGAGTAATTGGCAACCTTTTTTTCAGTAAAGGGGCCAGATGGTCATAAATAATGATAATGTAGGAGTTGTGGTACAAATGGTCTCCGTAGCATCTACTCCACTCTGCTGTTGTGGTACAAAGCAGCCATACACTATAGGTAAACAGTGAGTGTGTGACTGCGCTGGGACATCTTGTTGACCGATACAGAGGACAAGCAAGATTTCGCTTTTGTGTTGTAGTTTGCCAGCTCATGATTGAGGATACTAATCCTTGCTGTTCTGGCTCTTCCAGGAGAGAGAACATGATTGTTTTGGAGTTGGTTAGTAGACTGTGTGGTCTGTAATGCCAAATATTGTAGAGAGGCCAAGAAAAAGAGGATGGTGGTAGGGGCAGGGGATCTGTATAGTGTAGTGGTTAAGAACATATCATTGTCCTTAAAGAAATCTCAGATATATATTAGGAACCCAATTTCAAGTTTTGGTAATCATTGGAAAGAAAGGAGAAGAAAAACCTTGGAATGGTAAAGGATAGTATTTTATTTGTTGGGACAGTAAAACCTTAAAAAACTTGTAGCCAGAGAAGAAGGAGCCATTCGGGAGAAGGAGATGGAGAAGTAGAAGGGAAAACAGAACTACAGGTGGCAGTAAGGTGTAAAATATGGCAGGTACATATGAAACATCCAGAGAATAAAGCAAGATATAGCTATAACGACATGTTAAGTTTTAAAAATCCAGATAGTAAGTGCAATAAAAGTTAGAAGGAACAGAAAACTGGGGGCAGGAGTGGCCAAATACACCAAAAAATTCAATAAAAAATATTTAAAAAGTAGTTTTCAAAATTGTGTTGGATTTCACTAGGGTATTTGAGTAGGTAAATACCTTGTGCTAATTTTAGCACTTACCAAAGCATATATATGTCATGGCCTCTCTAATCTGCTGGAATGTAGATACAATAGCCTTACCTTTCTAATGTATTTCTTGTCAGTAGGTGGTTGGTGAATGTTTTTTTCTTTCATACACACAGGGTATTTTGTTTTTATACACTGGGGAGCAAGAATAGAAAAAATTATGTCTGAACAGAACAATGTGGGGAGCTCAGGAGCTGAATTTTGTGATATCTTTACTATTTCCCTAAAGCATGATTGTGGGCCATTTAATCCTCTGATTGGAGTTTCTTTATCTAGCTGAAAGATGACAAGAAAGCCAGAATCTAAAGTACTTTAACTCTTTTTGAATTTAAATTTTTTATTTTAAAAATATTTTTAGTGAGCTTTTGTACATTTAACTATTTTTTTGGTCTTTTTCAGATAGGGTCTCCCTACAGGAGGCCCCAGCTGGCCTGGAACTCCCTTTGTAGACCAGGCTGGCCTTGAGCTCATAGAGATCCACCTACTTCTGCCTCCCGAGTCCTGGGATTAAAGGCATGTGCCACTACACCTGACCCACTTTAACTATCTTAATCCTATCAGTTTATTAGTCATAGTGCTTATAGTCCCAATTAATTATTTTCCTCATAATTTTCTTTTATGAATGTTGTGTATATATCTGTTTGTTCTCACTATGAAAAATTCAGGGTGCTCATATTCAGGGTTCACTCCGAATCAAAAGTATCTCTACTTTCATTTAACCTTCCTCTCGAATTACACTTCATCCTGTTATAAAATTAATTTCCTCAGCCTAGAATGCCCTCTGGCTATTGTAAAAGTTCCCTTGTCCATGATGCAAATTCCTTTTATGCAGGCTTAGCCTTTCACACCACAGACTTCACCATCTTTCCTCTATAGCCATCTCAATAAATATATGGAGTATTCTTTAGTGTGGGCAACTCAGGTTTTCTCAACCTGCTTTATGTAGAGGTAGTCATATCACATAATTTTTGTTGTTGTAGCTTTGCTTTGGTTTTTGAGGAGGAGTCTCACTGTGTAGACCAGGCTGGCCTTGAACTCACAGACCTCTGCCTGTCTCTGCTTCCCAAATGCTGGAATAAGAAGGGTGTGACGACTATGCCCTGTAAGTTATATAATCTTAAACAAACTTTACTGCTTTTATTAGAGTGTCATTCCTAAACTAAACCGAAGCAGTACCTTCATTATGTCAATTCAGCTTCCAGACCAAACTACTCCCTCTTCCCCAAACCATTTTGCTTTCCTGTAAGTCCCTCCTAATATACAAATTTTACATGCACTAGTGTTTAGATTTATTTTTAGTTATGTGTAAGCATGGGAAGGAGGGGAGATGACCTTATGTACATGTGAGTTCAGGTGCCCATGGAGTCCAGAGGCACCCTCTGGAGCTGGAGTTACAGGTGATTGTGATCTTCCTGACATGGTGCTGAGAATTAAACTGGGTTCTCTACAATAGTAGTACAAGCTCTTAGCTGCTGAGCCATCTTTCTAGCCTGATACTGGTTTTTAATGGAGCGATAGTAAGTGAAAAATCAACAATCAGAAGTTGCAGATAGAATGGGAAAATATGTTTATCTGTCATTTCAATTCCTTTTCTCTCAGTTTGGCTGATAAAGCTCATTCTGATTACTAGAGAATAGAATTTCAGAAGTGGAATTTAACTTTGGCTTTCCCTTCACTCCCGACTAAATCAGGTTCCTTAGCTGGTCTGATAGACATTTCTGCTCACTGGATGACAGACTTAAAAGAAGGGATATGCACAGGGGGATTCTGGTTTAACCATGAACACTGTTGCTGGAATTCTGAGCACGTCACCTTTGAAGACAGAGACAAATGCCCAGAGTGGAATAGCTGGTCCCAGCTTATCATCAACACAGATCAGGTAATATTTATTGATAATTTCTGAACCACTGAATTTTGGCTTTACCTTTATTTCATTTTTTAAACTGCATTCCTGGAAATTGTGGAATCTTCCTCATTATCATTTTCGTGGAAAGGGGAACTAGTGCCAGCTGTCATTTTCTGTGATTTAAGTGCAGCCCTATTTCTATGTCTTCTGACATGTGGAACTGTTTTTTGCTTACCTTGCAAAGCTTGGTTTGTTTTAAAGAAGGCTTATGTTTCTTCTTAGTTATTAGTATACAGTATAATTAAAATTACTTTTGCCTAATGATTTCAATAGAAATGTCAGGGCAGACAAGTAGCACATAATTTCAACAAAAAAAATGTAGAATGGTTTAAAATAATATTTATCATATAGATACCCAAAGTGATTTGTTCCTGAACATTGAATTAGAAAATTAAATTCACACACACACACACACACACACACACACACACACACACGAGTACATTAAATTGGGCAGAGGCACCATAAGGGGAGGTGCAGATAAGGTGGGGGATCTAAATACCACCAAACTATATTGTATGAAAATTTCAAAAATTCAGTAAATATTTTTTAAAGTTAAAAAATTGAAGGGGCTGGAGATGGACTCACCAGTTAAGAGTACTGGCTGCTCTTGCAGAGAACTGGGGTTCAGTTCTCAGCATCCACATGGTAGCTAAGCTAACAACCATCCATAACTTCATTCAGTTCCAAGAGAATCTGATGCATTTTCTGACCTCTGCAGGCATTGCACAACACATTCATACGTGTAGGCAATATACTCAGGCACATAAAATAAAAATAATAAATAAAAATAAATGAAAAAAATTTTAAAAATTTATGATACATTCCATGTCAAAATGACAGAAACCCAGGAATAAAATTGCTTATAGTCTCCTCTTGCAATTGAATCACTGTTTTCATTGTTATATAGCAAATATTTTTCAATACAAAAGTAATTTTATGTTTTGTCATCTTTCCTGTTTGGATCTCTCCTACTGGGACATGAGAGATGGCTCAGCAGTTAAGAACACTGGATGCTCTTGCAGAGACGGGGGTTCGAATCCTGGCACCCACATGGTGGCTAACAACTGTCTGGAACTCCAGTTGCAAGGAATCTGATGCCCTCTTCTGTCCTCCATGGGCATTGTACAACACGGGTACACTTAACATACACTCAGGCATACACATAAAATTAAAATAAATTTTAAAAAATTTAGATCTCTCCTATTGTAAAGCAAACAAAACAAAAACCCCTTAGTTACCAATCCCACCAATTGAAATAGGCACCCCTTTGAGCTCCCTCCTATTCATCCATTCTGTTGGTGATGCAGAGACAAGACTAGGACACATGCGTATACTCCTGAAATTTATCTTTAAAGCTGATTGCATAGAGGTAAAGAGTAGAATAACTACCACTAGAGGCTGAGGAAGGGAAGGGGATAGAGAGAAGTTGGGCTGGGCATGGTGATGCAAGCCTTTAGTCCCAGCACTAGGGAGGCAGAGACAGAGGCAGAGGCAGGCGGTTCTCTGTGAGTTCAAGCCTATCTTGGTCTACATAGCAAGCTCCAGGTCATTTGAGGTGCCAAATATTGAGCTCAGGGCCTTGAATGTGCTAGGCAAGTGCTCTAATAGTGAGCCAGTCCTTCTTCTTATATATTTTATAAAGCATTGGAAGAGGGGACTTAGAAGGCCTCAAACAAAGAAATATGAAATGTTTAAGGAAGTAAAAATGTTGAATTACCCTGATTTGATCATTATGCATTATATACATGTATGAAAATATCATACTGCATTTTATAAACATGCATAATCATTATGAATCAGTAAAAACACATTTAAATATTTTTATTATACACCTTGGTCCACAAAGAATTTGAGATGGTATGGCCCAGAGAGGAAGAAAGAGAGCAAGAGAGAGAGAGAGAGAGAGAGAGAGAGAGAGAGAGAGAGAGAGAGAGAGAAAGAGGAGAAGAGAGAGAGAGAGAAAGAGGAGAGAGAGAGCCCACAGTACAATAAATCAAGAGGAAAGGATAGGAAAATAATAAAGTCAGAAATAAGAAAGTTTATATCCATATGTGACTATGCATATTGGCTTGGGGGAGCAAAGGCTTAGGTATATGCTTCTTAAGTTGCAGTATAATCAACATGCCAGATGAATATTACATGCCTTCCCAAATCACCAGTTTTTCCTAATTATTTGGAAGAATTTCTTTTCAAAAATTAAATGTAAGCAATGATTTTAAAATGGAATGTAAATTTTTATTTCATTTTTCTTGTGTATTGAAGATTGAACCCAGGGCCACATGCTGGACAAATATTCTACCACTAGGTTACATTCATAATCCTTTAAAATGTTTTACTTTGAAAGCTAGACTTGGTGGCATACACTTGTAACCCCTGCACTTGGGAAGTAGAGGCGGGAGAATCGGGAGTTCAAAGTCATTCTTGGCTACATAGTGAGTATGAGACCAGCCTGGGATACACAAGACCTTGCCTCCAAAACACGGAAAATTTTTTTTTTAATTTTAATTACATTTATGGTGTGTGTGTGTGTGTGTGTGTGTGTGTGTGTGTGTGTATGTCTGTGCATGCCACAGCATGTTTTCTTGTGGGAGGGGCGTGGTAAGGAAGCAGCTTTAGCAAATCAGTTCTCTCCTCAGTCATGTAGATCCTGTGGATTGAACTTAGGTCATCAGGCTAGGCGGCAGGTACCTTTACACGCTGAACCATTGCACTGGCCCTAAGAAAACATTTTTAAAAATCGAACTGGTCATGGTGGCACATTTGTATAATTCCAGCATTTGGGAGTCAAGAGGCAGAAGGATCACTACAAATTCTAAGCCAGCTGAGGCTATATAGTGAGACTCTGTCTTAAGAAACTATAAATGTATAAATAATTAAATAAGCAAACAAATAAAGAAATTAATTACTTAATTAAATTAAATTTATTTTGAGACACGTTCTTGACAACTTGTCCTGCTGGCCTCCTGCCTTAGCCACCTGAGTAGCTCTATGCATTTTTGTTTGTTTGAAACAATCTTACTCTGTTGCCCAGGCTAGTCTAGAACTCACAGTAATCCTCCTGCCTCAGTTTCCCAAGTAATAGAATTAGAGGTTTGAGCTACCAGGGCCATCTCTGTGTTTTGTTTGTTAGATTTATTTATTTATTATTTTTATTTTATGTGTATGAGTGTATTGGCTGCATGTATGTAATTGCACCAGTGTCATGCAATGCCTGTGGAGGTCAGAGAGGGTGTTGGATCCCCTGGAACTGGAATTACCAACATTGGTTAGCCACCATGTGGGTGCTGGGAATTGAATCTGGGTCCTCTGCAAGAGCAGCCAGTGCTCTTAACCGCTGAGCCATCTCTGTAGCCCCCAAATAATTTATTTTTATTTTATGTGTTTGAATGTTTTGCCTGCATGTGTGTGTGTGTGTGTGTGTGTGTGTGTTTGTTGCCCTCAAAGGCCAGAAAAGCATTAGATCCCCTGGAACTGGAGTTATGATGGTTGTTAGCTGCCATATGGGTGGTGGGAACTGACTCCAGGTCCTCTGTAAGAATAGCCAGTGCTCTTAACTGCTGAGTTATTTCTCCAGCTTGTTTGTTTCTTAAAGGAAAAACACAATTTCTGTTTTAGCTCTATTCCCAGATACTTTTACCCTTGACCCTGACATCTCTATTTGCTCTCTTGGATAAGTTCTAGAATTTAGAATAAGAGTCTCTGTGTGTCTTTACCTTGCTTTTTAAGACAATTACAGAATCACAATTTTACACCTCTCATTCCATCCAGCCTCCCTCAATGGTTAACACTTTGCATAACAGCATAGGAAATTGATATATGTACAGTCTATAGAACTTCTCCCTGTTTTGTTGTTTGCTTTTGTGGTGCTGAAGATTGAGCCCAGGGCCTTGGGTGTGCTAGGCAAACACTGTGCCACTGACCAACACCCCCTACCCTGTCCTTTTCATTTCACTAGCTACATACAAAATGATGACAGAAGGGTGGGGGAGAAAGAAGGAAAAGGAAGGGGGAGAGGGAGAGATCTACAATTTTATGATGGTGTAAGATTGTTCTGTGACCACAAGACTCTCTTGTGCTGCCCCTGTGTAGCAAGTCCTGTATATGTGTCTGTTCCAATAGTTCCTTGTAAGCTGGAGCTTAGGGTTTGCTTGAACAAAAGATTTCTCTGGCTCTGCTTTTTTGTGAATGAAATCATTGCCTAGGGAAACAGTCTGCTGGGCTTTAAGATTTCTCTTGCCAAGAATTTGGCTTTCTGGTTTCTGCCTTTAGCCAGTTTCTGTTATTTCCTTTTCACTGCCTTTCCCTCGTTGCTTCTACTGCTGAAGTCCACTTGCTCAGAGCTACACTTAAAAGACAAAGAAATAGTCTATTCCTCTGAGGAGCTAAGATTATGGAAAACTTGTGTCAAACTCACAACTAAGAAAACCTTAGAGTTCTGATTCTCTTTGTGTAGGAGAATCTCCTTGTCTATCTCTTTAAATTTTTTAAAGATTTATTTTTATTTTTGTATGCATGAGTCTTTTGCTTGCATGTATGTAAGTGTACCTGTGTCATGCATTGACTGTGGAGGTCAGAGGAGGGCATTGGACTCCCTGGAACTGGAGTTAGACAGTTGCTAACAGCCCTGTGGGTGCTGGGAACCAAACTCATGTCCTCTGCAAGAGCCGCCAGTGCTCTTAACCACTGAGCTGTTGCTCCAGCCCCCACTGAGTCATCCCTCCAGCTCCCACTGAGTTATCTTAACAGTGCCTTATGCTTTAAAAAGTCAAAAATCCACTGGACTTTTTTTATTTTTTTGAGACAGGGTCTCCCTGTAGCCCCAACTGGTCGGGAACTCCCTCTGTAGACTGTGTGGCCTTGATCTCACAGAGGTTCACCTGCCTCTGCCTCCTGAGTGCTGGGATTAAAGGTGTGTGCCACCACACTCCATTGAGCTTTGTATTTCATGTAATTTGAAATATAATCCTTAATGTTCAAAATTCTTATGACTATTTGCCAGCCCTTTAATGTTAATGAATTCTTATTAGTGGTCAGAAACTAGAATTTCTTTGTACCACGCTTCATTATGATAGGGGACTAGTCTCATAATTATTTTGTACTCAAAAAATTTTTTTAAATTATTCTGTGTTCACACAAAAATAAGTGTTGCTTTAAGAAAGTACTTTTCTGCCGGGCGTGGTGGTGCACACCTATAATCCTAGCACTTGGGAGGCAGAGGCAGGCGGATCTCTGTGAGTTCAAGGCCAGCCTAGCCTCCATAGCGAATCTAGGCCAGCTAGGGCTATAGGGAGACCCTGTCTCAAAAAGACCAAAAAAAAAGAAAGAAAGAAAGAAAAGAAAAGAAAGCACTTTTCTTTGAAAAATCTAGATTTATCAGGGTAAAATACTTTCTGCTTACATACTTACTGCTTTGTCTGTGGTAGCATAATTCTTTTCAAGATGTAATCATTGTATGTGAAATATTTTTTTAAATCTTACTAAATTGAAACAGAGACTATAATGGTGGTTACTAGGGGCAAGGAGGGGATGGAAATGGTAAGAAGAAAGTCAAAGGTATAAATTTGCACTTACTGCATGAGTAAGTTTAGAGATCTAATATATCCTGAGAACTGTAGTTAATAATATTGTACACTAAAAATTTACTGTTCATACATAGAAAGGTAATTATGGAAGGTGATTAATATGCGAATCTCTATGACTTTAGCAGTCATTTAGTTATGTATATATGTATTAAAACATCAAGACTCAGGGGCAAGAGAGATGGACTGGTTAAGAGCACGTACTGCTCTTGCAGTGGACCTGAGTTCTGTTCCCAGCACCTACATCAGGTGGCTCACAACCAACTATAGTTCCAATTCTAAGGAATCCAACACCCTCTTATATCTGCATTCACATAACAAACCCACACATACACATAAATAAGAATTTAAAAAATAAAACATCAAGACTGGAGCTGAGCATGGGAACTCATAATTACACTTGGGAAGTGGAGGCAGGAGGATCAGGAGTTCTATGGCATCCTCTGCTACATAGTTCAAGGCTAAAATGGGTCTCAAGAAAACAACCCAAATAAATAAATAAATAAATAATAAATAATAAATAAATAAATAAATAAATATCAGGTAGAGCATGTACTTTAGCATGTGTGAGATCCAGGGTTAAATTCCCAGAATTAAAAACCAAAATAGGCTGGAGAGATGGCTCTGTGGTTAAGAGCATTGGCTGCTCTTGCAGAGGATCTGGGATCAGTTCCCAGCATCCACATGGTGGCTAACAGCTGTCAGTAACTCCAGTTCCAGGAGATCCGACACCCTCTTCTGACCTTCGAGGGCACTGGACGAAATGGGTGCACTTTCATACATGCAGGCACTGTGTACATGTGTGCAATCATGCACATAAAAAATTAAACAAATAAAATATTTAAAAAACCAAAACAAAATGAAACCCCCCAAATATCATATTGTTTGTGTTAAACATATAACAACAAAAATTATAAAGCAAAGAAAAAAATAGGAATTTTAGTCGCTGTAATCTGTAAGAATTTGACACCAAGGTAGAGAGCCAAAGGTAAGTATAATGGAATGTTGAAACCTGTCATCACTTCAAATATGTAGTCAAGGTTCAGCCATTCCAGAAACAGGTAAGAGTGTTAAAACTTGCATTAAATTTGACATAGAAGCATATATGTTTAACTGAAAAACTGACAAAAGCATTTATAAAATGTGACCAGACATGGTGTCAAATGCCTGCAAATCCTACTTGGGAGGCAGGGCACAAGGATTGGAAGTTGGAGTCCAATCAGTTTGCTACATAGTAAGTTCTAGGCCAGCGAGGCCTGCATAGAAGACCGTGTCTCAACCAAGAAAAGAACAGAACAAAGCAAAAGTGAATAATTTCGTAGTTTTCAATTATTTCTTCTGCTTGTCAGTTCTTAGAGTCCTTTGAGAATGTCCTTTGACTGTTGCAAAGCCTCTGATGTTTAGTACCAAGTGGTCTGACAATTTCAGTGGTTGCTTTGCTGAACAATCTAGAAAGAAATGTTTAAGCAGTATAATATTTTTTTGTTTTGTTTTTTCTCTTTCCTGACCTTCTCTTCTGGCAGACCATTACTCAAGAACTATATTCCTTACCCAGGCTATGTAGACTAAAACAGCATCTGTCTTTTTCTTTGTTCCAGGGAGCCTTTGCCTACATAGTTAATTACTTCATGTACGTCCTCTGGGCTCTCCTGTTTGCTTTCCTTGCCGTATCTCTTGTCAAGGTGTTTGCACCTTATGCCTGTGGCTCTGGAATCCCTGAGGTGAGTATGTTAAAGTGATGCATAATGGTAACATTATGAATCATTTTTTGGCTAAAATCTTGTAATATGTATTCCAGCATATATTACAGTTTGAGGAATATTAATCAAATCCTGAGGCCATCTAAGGCCATCTAAGGCCTATCTACATTTTCCTTTAAGTTTCCTCTCAGTCTGGGCCTACCTACTCTTGTCTAAGGATTGCTTTATAGTGACCAAAGCTACAATTTTAGGATATCCGGATGTCCTTGCTCTGTCTGTTTCCTAATAGTCACTACTTTCTTTGCAAGAAATCAGGCTCTACCTAATCTTTCAGGTTGTTTCATGAACATTGACCTTGTCCTCTCAGAACATTTTATAACCTGAGAAAATACCTACACCTGCTCTGCAGCTTCTGCTTCTCCCTCTGCACACTCTCATCCTTACAGTACACCCTTTTCCAGCTGCCACATGGCCTCTTACTCCCTCCAAAACCCCTAAAGCTCACAGAAAAGTTCTGGCTTTCTTACATCTCTCCTATACTAAGACCACTTATAAGACAAGTATGTATATGTCAGTTGTTCAGAAGGAATAGTTCTTATAACAGGATGCAGAGTTTTACTATTGAACTTTATTCATTTCCTTACTCTATATTTAGCCTCTCTGTGTTTGGTCTGCAGATAAAAACTATCCTGAGTGGTTTCATTATTAGGGGCTATTTGGGTAAGTGGACCCTGGTTATCAAAACCATCACCTTGGTGCTGGCAGTGTCATCTGGCTTGAGCCTGGGCAAAGAGGGCCCCCTAGTGCACGTGGCTTGCTGCTGTGGGAACATCCTGTGTCACTGCTTCAACAAATACAGGAAGAATGAAGCTAAGCGCAGAGAGGTAATGACCGAAGCTTGTAATCGGCTCTCTTTGCTCAGGAGCATAAGTGCTATAAAGTCAGACTTTGGGGATTCCACTCATGTGAATGCAAATACTCTATGATTTAACAAGTCTACTTCTGTCTTACAGCCTAAGATATGCATGTATACTGATGTCTGGGGATAGTCAGTCAATATAGCATTTGTTAACATAGTGAAAGTATGGAATGAGCATCGATAGGAAATTGGTCAAAAAACTGTGTTCTGCTCATATCATAGAATACTGTGCAACTATTTAAAAGATTAAGATTATCCTAACTATATTGACATAGAATGCCGGCAATAGAACACTAAAGCCAGTTTGTGACTACTGTTTATGGGATAATTCAGGAAATGCTTTTAAAGAATATATATTTATGCACCTAAGAGGAGAATGTGTAGGACTGGGATGATAGCTTAATTGATAAAGTACTTATTTGCAAACATGAGGACCTCCAGTTCGATCCCCAAGAACCCATGTTTAAAAAAGCTGGTGTGGTGGTACATGCTTTGTAATTCCAGCTCTGAGAAGGTGAAGACAGGCAAATCTCTGAGGCTGACTAGTCAGCCAGCCTTGTCTGCTTGGTTGATAGCAGGCCAATGGGAGACACTGTTTCAAAAAACAAGGTGGGTGGTGACTGAGGAATAACACCTGAACTTGATCTCTGGCCTACACATGTACCTGCACCCACACACATATATTCACCTGCACATACGTGTACCTGCACACATGGATATGTATTCACACCCACATCCGTACACATGACAAAAATATCTGGAAATGGTTTTGTTCTAAACTGTTAAAATGTAATTCTGATCCATGGGAGAATGAGGTAAAGGGAAGAGGGAAAAAGAAGAACCTGAACTTTTTATTGCAGTTAATCTTAAGCAAATATGTGTTACTTCTACTCAAAAATAAGTTACATAAACTAACAGAATTTGAGGAACTTGCTTATTCCTGTGGAAGAGTAAATATAAATAGTATATGTTTTAAATATCAGCTTTTTCATCTTTTATTGCTATCACATGTTATACTTGACAGTTTCTCTTTGAGCTGGATTTTTCTCTCTGCCTGCCTCTTGCCTCACCCTAGCTAAATTAGTCACACCATAGTATCACTGTGGTTGTTTTCAAATTTATCCAGTTGTTTATGTGTTCTATATTGAGGAAGGAGATTTTAAAAAATTGTCCCAAGTCATTGGTTACTTTTATTCTGCTATAATTAAGGACTTAAGAAAGTAATGGTTCTTGTTTTATTTTCCTTGAATGATATAGAAACCTTGCTTGGTCTTGAAATAGGTGAAAACCAAAGTAATTTTATGAAGGATTTTTTTTTACAGAACTGGGACCTAGTGATTTCTTCTGAAAACAAACAAACAAACAAACAAAAAAGATTAACCACATGTCCTAAAAAGAAACTGAAAAATGCTAAGATTTTAAGTATGGAATAAATTTTGATAGTTAAATGGGGAAAGTTATGGTACAGTTAGGAAGGAGAAGAAAGTGAGTAGGATCTATACAGTGATGTGTGAGTAGCTTGCTTAGCTACTTGTCATGTGGTAGAGACCCTAAGGCTATATTAAATTGGGAAAATTGTTAAGCAGGAATAATGTATAACAGATGTGAAAAGGCTGAAGAAAAACACTCTAAATAGCAAGACTAAAGTATTGATTGTTGCTGGCTCTACATGGATGAAGCTGAATTTGAAACTAGATTCCTTATAAAAGAGGAGGGGATGTAATTTGACTATTTCTCTTAAATATACCATACATTTCTCTGGTTAGGCCTACCAATATGTGAATCTCCAGTTTACTTCCTATAACCTATATTTCCTAGTTTTTCTTTAGTAGTGCTTGGGATCAAACCCAGGGCATTTCACAGGCTATCTTTTCTGTGGTTCTCAGTAGTAGCAGCAACCAATTGGTTGCCAGTAGCTTTATCAAAGTGACAGATGGTGGGAGTAAAACAGATTTCAGTTGGAAGGATGTGGAGAGATCCCATTCTACAATATAAAACTAAAGCAAACCAGCCAACTCAGTTTTTTCTTCCCCTTCCTATTTAATCCTAAATACAACTAGTGAAATTCCCTTTTACAAGTTGCATTTTGACTGTCCCAGTGCTTCTCAAAGGAAAGCCATTTGAGCTAAGTATTTTCATAGCCTTCATGGCTGACACCAGAGATTCCACTCTTCCATCTCTTTTATTTTCCTGGGTGAGCCTACAGTCCTAGAGAAATCTTTTTTCCAAGAAACATTTTCTTTTTTAAAATTATTAATTTTGTTCAATTTTGTCTTTAAAATATGCCCTCTCCAAATTACTTCTCTCCACAGCAAGTACTATTCAGGGAAAGGGCTTGTTCTTTTGAATTCTAGTTTGTTTGCATCACGAATATTTGTCCTGCACATTGTCCATACATGCCCACACCCAGAGGTGACACTGTCTAAATATCCCTTTTTATCCCTCTCTTGTGTCCCTTTTCCTTCTGATAGTTCATTCACTTCCCATTTAGCCTCTTTCCTTGCCACTTATCTTCTCTGCCTTTAAAAATATAGTAGTTGTCTTCCTATTTGTTTTTCTGTTGGTTATTGGGACTAGAGTAGGACACATGGTACATGGCATGCTAAACTGTAACTTCAATTTGTATTATTAATGCCTTCTTTAATACCTTATTAAAAACATTCCTTTAATGTGCTATTTAAATGCATCACCACAAGCCCTTTATTTAGGTGGGAATAGGTAGGTCTCCAAACCCAAGTTCAGTTCCCAATGGAGGATTGCTGGTAGAGGTTTAATTTAGAATTCAGTTCATGCCTCAGTCACAAACTAAAGGCTTCTTTTCTTGTTTAAGCATGTGAACTACATATGTGCTCAACATCCAGCATATAGTATTGCTTTCCAAGTAAACAGAAATTGAACTTCACTTTTAATGATATGGAGAATGTAAAACCTTTTCTTCAAAATACTTACTAGGTATTTCTTTTAAAAATGTGATTGAATGTAAGAAAGTCATATCATTCCATTGCTGATTTTACATTTCGGATTGTAGGTCTTATCAGCTGCAGCAGCTGCTGGTGTGTCTGTAGCCTTTGGGGCTCCTATCGGTGGAGTACTATTCAGCCTGGAAGAGGTAATGACCTCTAACTGTCTGTAGAGTGGGTGTGTGCTTTGATATTAGAAATCTTGGCCAATATCTATGTATGTTGCAGTCCCTGAGTGTTCTGCCTAACTCGGCCCTTTGCCATGTAAACAGAAATTTCTAGAGCATTTTCAACCTTGACTATAATCCTGGAAACCTTGGGATTTCATTTGGAACAGTTTCTACTTACTGACTGTTTGCTTTCTCATCTCTGTTTTATAGGTCAGCTACTATTTTCCCCTCAAAACATTGTGGCGTTCATTCTTTGCTGCTCTGGTGGCAGCATTTACTCTACGCTCCATCAATCCATTTGGAAATAGCCGCTTAGTTCTATTTTATGTGGAGTTTCACACGCCGTGGCATCTTTTTGAGCTTGTGCCATTCATTGTGCTGGGCATATTTGGTGGTCTGTGGGGAGCTCTATTTATCCGAACAAATATTGCCTGGTGCCGGAAGCGTAAAACCACACAGTTGGGCAAGTATCCTGTCATCGAGGTACTCATTGTGACAGCCATCACTGCCATCTTGGCTTTCCCCAATGAATACACCCGGATGAGCACAAGTGAGCTCATTTCTGAGCTGTTCAATGACTGTGGCCTTCTGGACTCCTCCAAGCTCTGTGATTATGAGAACCATTTCAACACAAGCAAGGGTGGTGAGCTGCCAGACAGACCTGCTGGCGTGGGAGTCTACAGTGCTATGTGGCAGCTGACTTTGACACTCATACTGAAAATTGTTATTACTATATTTACCTTTGGCATGAAGGTGAGGCATTCTTTTGGTACTTGGTGTTTGTTTTCTGTGGCTGTGGCTTTGGGGAGCAAAGCCAAAGTATCCTCCAATCCTCATAGCTTGTGTGTGCTGGACTTTCATCTTCCCCCAGTATGATTGATTCTTCTAGCCTTGAGGCCTCTTCACCCCCACTTGTTCCCATGACTTGCTAGACAATAGTAACTGTTTCAAATAGCTGAAGCCTATATTAACTGCAAAGTTCAGTGATGAGATTTTGAAAATAAATATTTTCTCCTTTTCTATATAAAAAATATATTTCCCTAGGCCTGGAGAGATGGCTCAGTGGTTAAGAGCACTGACTGCTCTTGCAGAGAAACCTGGGTTCGATTCCCAGCACCCACATGGCGGCTAATAACCATCCATAATTCCAGTTCCAGGGGAATTCAGTGCTCTCTTCTGACTTCCATGGGCATTGCATGACATGCGTGCACTTACATACATACAGGCAATACACTCATACACATAAAAAAAAAATAAGAAAACACATTTCCCCCTAAAAGGAAGGTGAGGTATTCATGCTAGAGCATTTTCTGTCAAAGTGCAATATTTGACCAACTGCCTTATAGGATAGATAGTCTTTATAGAATAGACTTTAGAGTTAATTAAAGAAGCACAATTTTAGCCTGAACCCTATGATGTTACCAACATCCACCACTTTAACCACTAAAATAGTAACCTCATAGAGTGCAACCCAACATACCTAAATGAAGTTTTTACAGTTAGTATCAATACTTACTTCTTAACAAGTGGACTCCATTTCTCAGGTTAATATTAAAATATTTTAACTATCAAAAACAGATAACATGGGCCAGTGAGATGGCTCACTGGGTCATAGTGCTTGCTGCCAAGCCTGACATCCTGAGTTTGGTTCCCAGAACCCACATGGTGGAAGGCAAAAACAACTTGTCTTCTGACCTCCACATGTGTATGCATGTACACCTAAAAAATAAATGAAAAAGCCCACAAGCAAGCATGTTCTTATGTACAGAAGATGCAAAAGCTACAAAATGTTGATCTCATACAACAGAGAGTAGAATAATGAGAACAAAATACATTTTGATAGGAGGATTAAGTTCCAGTGCTGTGTAATAAAGGAAGGTGACTATGGCAATTGTTTATTATACATTTCAAAAGAAAAGAGGGGATTTTGAATGTTCCCCAAGACAAAAACATGATAAATGTTCAAGTGATGGATATGGTAATTATCCTGATTTGATTATCACATATTCTTATATCAAAATATCATACTTTCTTCAATAAATATGTACAATTATTACATCCTACTTAAAAGTGGTCTTAGGCTGGCATGTTTTTACTTTTAATGCTGGTTACAATTTCTGTGTTTCAGAGGAAACAAAAATGGAAAATTGGTTAAAGTATTTTCTTCATCCTTCCAAGATTTTCATGTTTGTTTCTTCTGTTCCACATCCTACTATGAAGTCATTCTCTTTATTCTCCATGGAAAGAGATTTGAATCAGGCAGAGGATGGAGACTCTGAAAAGTTTTTCAGTGCTTCGTGGGTCAGTTTTAACCCTGTGGTTTCATTGTTTTATTTAAAGGGAATGTGTAGATCTTAAGAACACCAACTTCAAACGCATTCCGAAGTGAAATACATCCTATTTAAGAATGCTATGCTGTTTGATTATATTTACTTCATTTAATTCCTTAATATTAATAATTCCTAGTAGTTAAGAAAAAACAGGAAGATAGATGAATGTTCCTTTTTTGTTTACCATGCATCTCTGTCATTTAAATTTTTTATTTGTTTAATCTTTATATTGTTCTAAAGTAGAAGGAAGCTCGTGTGCCATTCTTTTGATATGACTAATGGATTAGGACTTAATATGTAGGTGTCTTTATGAGCATTCCATTTAAATCCCAACACTAACAGTAACTCCCCCAGTAAGAGTTAGTGTTCATTAGCTCTTGACCTTGGGGGAATTACTTAACCTTCCTGAACCTTGGAGCCCATAATTCAAGAATGATAATGCCTACTCCCTGGGCTTGTTACAGAGTATGTATATAATCTTATATGTAGAACATCCAGCATAGAACATGGTAGTCAATGAAGGGTATGTTGGTGTTGATAAAAATTTAGAATTGGGGGAAAATGTCTGCATATATAAGAAACTCCATCTATTTTCCTTTTTCTTTGGGAAAGGCGTAATTTCTGCCTCCAGTTTTGTGTTGGTCTCATGGACCCCGAATCAGGGTAAGCCTCTTTGCAGTCATCCTTGCCTGCACGTCCCAGAGAACCTCTAGTTCCTGTAGTGTTACACAAATCTTTGCAGCCACTTGCTAGCATAGTGCATAGTTAAATTGTCATTGGCCTGTTTGCTTTGCAGAGGGTCAGTCCTCCAGCCCTTACCATATGCTAAGCAACCACATCATATCTCACTGACCATCTCTTGCTTTGTCTTTGCAGATCCCTTCTGGTCTGTTTATCCCTAGCATGGCTGTTGGTGCTATAGCAGGCCGTCTTTTGGGAGTAGGAATGGAGCAATTGGCTTATTATCACCATGACTGGGGCATCTTCAATAGCTGGTGTAGTCAGGGAGCTGATTGTATCACACCTGGCCTTTATGCTATGGTTGGAGCTGCAGCTTGCTTAGGTGAGTAATATTTGCTTTAATTTCAAAGAAGTCATCCTCCCAGTGACATCCAAATGAAGAACAATTTGAAACACAGTGGACTGCCGAGATTTTTTTCATGATCATCTATTTCTTTTTGGGCTATTTCTCAAGCACTTAAATAAAACTAATTCTACTTTCTCACATAGGGGAAGTAATTAGAAACCGGACAAAGAAATCTATATAAGAATGTGCACCACCATATTATTTATAGGAAGAAAAATTAGCCAAATGTGGTGGCACATGCCTATAAGTTCAGCTCTCAGGAGGCTAAAGCAGGAGGATCTCCAGTTCCAGACCAGTGTAGCCTGTATAGCAAGAGCCTGTTTCAAAAACAAAACAAAACAAAAAATAAAAGCAACCTAAATTTGAACATTAAGAATCTTATAATATAAATTATATTTCATCCATATATTATACAACTCTTAAATTTGTGCTATCTATGTTTAACACGTGTGTATAATGATGGGGATTAAACCCAGATCCATGGCATGCTAGGCAAGCCCTTTACCACCAAGCTGTATGCCATGCCAAGCCTTCTTTATACTTTTTTGTTTGAGACAGAATCTCACTAAGTTGTTCAAGGAGGCCTTGAACTTGTAATCTTCTTTGCCTTAGTCTGTGGAGTAACTGGAATTATGGGCTTGTGCAACAAGACCACTGTTATGTTTAGTATCTCTCAATATGATCTTTAAATTAAAACAAATTTATTTATTTTGTGGTGGGGGAGGAAGGAGTACATGTCATTGCATGTATGTGGAGGTCAGAGGACAGCTTGCTGGAGTCAGTTCTCTCTTCCCACCATGTGGGTTCTGGGTTTTCAGGTTGTCAGACCTGGCAGCCAGTGCATCTACTCTTGTACCCCTCCCTTTAACTTAGTTTTTTTTGGTTTGTTTGTTTTGTTTTGTTTACTGTGATTTTAAGCCAGTAACAGTATGTCAAATATTTCAAACATGTAGCAGGAGAAAAGGATGGTAGGGAACCAAACATAGTATGAGCCTATCTATTAATTATAGGTAGTAAGCTGAATTTTCTACAATGGACATGCATTACTTTTACAATTAGGGGAAAAAGCAACAAAATAAAAAAACCTGGAAGTCTTCTACTTTGTTATTTTGAGAAATCTAAGTCATGACTAACAATGATATGACTAAAACTGCTTTAATGTCATCTGGAGCCTGCACAGTTGTTGGTAAGACCCTGTTCTAGCATTATTTCTAGTAAACTTTTCTTGGATGGGAACTGTGATGACATGCAATTGTAATGAATCCTTTTTCTTTCCTATGTCTTCTTCTTTGCAGGTGGGGTGACTCGGATGACTGTTTCTCTTGTTGTCATAATGTTTGAACTGACTGGTGGCTTGGAATATATTGTACCGCTGATGGCTGCAGCCATGACAAGCAAGTGGGTGGCAGATGCTCTTGGACGGGAGGGCATTTATGATGCCCACATCCGTCTCAATGGATATCCCTTTCTTGAAGCCAAAGAAGAATTTGCTCATAAGACCCTGGCAATGGATGTGATGAAACCCCGGAGAAACGATCCTTTATTGACTGTCCTTACTCAGGACAGTATGACTGTGGAAGATATAGAGACTATAATCAGTGAAACCACTTATAGTGGCTTTCCAGTGGTGGTATCCCGAGAGTCACAAAGACTCGTAGGCTTTGTCCTTCGAAGAGACCTCATTATTTCAGTTGGTAAGATTCCAAAAGAGGGATAAGGGAACTCAATAAATATGCATGAAATAGGGGAGACAGAGGGATGAAGGAGGGGCCGGTTAAGGGACAGAAGGATAGAACTAGGACTTGAATTTTAAACTTTTCATTTCCTTCTGATTAAACAGAAAATGCTCGAAAGAAACAGGATGGGGTTGTGAGCACTTCCATTATTTATTTCACTGAGCACTCCCCTCCAATGCCTCCATATACTCCACCCACCCTTAAGCTTCGGAACATCCTGGATCTCAGCCCCTTCACTGTGACTGACCTGACACCAATGGAGATTGTAGTGGATATCTTCCGCAAGCTGGGACTGCGGCAGTGCCTGGTTACACACAATGGGTGAGCACTCTTGAATGAACATAGATTGAATTATGGGAGAAAGTGAATATGGAGGTAAAAAGGAGAACCCAAATTTAAATTAACATTGGTAACACTTTTGGGCATTTTCGAAGCTCTGAGATAAAGATAGATGTGTTTATCATTATAAATAAAAAAGGAGTTTGAAGAAGAGAATTTTTGAGAGATGCAAATTGTTGGTTGTACATTATCAATAACTCAGTTTCTCCTCTACCAAGGAAGGAGCTGTGTTCTTGTACACAGGTGTGTCTGAACTTGTAATGATGTCAGGCAGGATATGTATAGTACAGTAGTGCCCCCAGCCCTTGGGTCATAACTTCCAAGACCACCATTGAATGGTTGAAACTTTGAATAGTACTGGCCCCCATATATACTGTATCTTCCTATATATACACGCATGTGATAAAGTTTAATCTATAAGTCAAATATAGTAAGAGATTAAAAGCAATAAGTATAAAATAGAGAAATTATAATAATATACTACAATAAAAGTTTTGTGAGCACAATCTCTTTCTCTCCCTCTCTCCCTTCCACTCCCCTAAAAAAGTTTTTGCTGAGCTTTTGGACCACGGTTGACCTTGAGTAACTAAACCCATGGTTACAGGAGATTATAGACCTGGCACTTGGGTAGTAGAATAAGGAGGATAAGGAGTTCAAGGCCAGCCTCAGCTATATGAGTTGAGGCTAGCCTGGGTTACACGAAACTCTGTTTTAGAGAGAGAGGAGAGAGAGAGAGAGAGAGAGAGAGAGAGATACTTTTGGTACTTAAAATCCCTTTGTTATACTCTCCTAGCCTGCTCTCCTACCCTCAGGCCTCTCTTGGGGTAAGTCTATCACGGAGCCCTCCGTGCCTTGACTCCCCCAGCCTCATTCACCCTTCCATCTCCTCTGCTGTTCTCTACTCCTAGTTTGGGCCCTGCGCCATTCCTAGTCTTGGGTCCCCAGACACCTGGGGAACCAATACTGCTTCCTGATCTTTTTCACCCAGACCAACTTAGTGCCTTCCTTGGGCCCCAGGAGCACTGCTTCTGGACCTGGCCCCGCCCTCACCTCCCTCTACTTCCCTGGTCCTGCAACACCCGCCACCCTCTTTCTGGGGCTAACCGCCTCTTTCTGGGGCTCCGAGGCTTTCCTTTCCTCTCCCTGATGCTTTGCATCCAGTACAACACAGCTACTCAATCCACTCCCTGGGAAATCTTGGGGCTTCTTCCCACCTCATCTGCCTCTGCATCCCTGCGTGGCATGGCCACGGCCAGGATCTCAGGTCAGTCCAACACCCAAGTTCCTGAGGCCAAAATCATTCTTAGAAGATTCCAGACATAAGGAGAAAGTCTGAACATTTCTGACCCACATTGGAATTGGGCTACCGCGGAACTCCTGAAGACAAAATCAATCCAGCCACGACAATATAAAATCAAAAGAGAGAA